TTAATTTAAAAAAAAAAAAAAAAAAAAAAAAAAAAGACCACCTTGTGTTAAAGGATATGTGTAAAAGGTACCTGTCATACAAGGAGAAGCCAAGTGAACTGGGATTGTTTAGCCTTGAGAAGAAAAAGCAGGGGGGTGTTACCAATGGGTATAAATACCTAAATAGGAGGGTGTGATGAAGATGGAGCCAAACTCTTCTCGCTGGTGCCTCCTGGCAGGACAGAGGCGATGGACACAAATGGAAATAGAGGAACTTCAGTTTAAACATAAGAAAACACCTTTTGACAGTGATGAAAACTCTGGCACAGGTTGCCCAGAGAGGTTGCAAAGTCTCCATTCTTGGAGGTGTTCAGAACCTGACTGGACACAGCCCCGAGCAACCTGCTCTAGCTGACCTTGCTTGAGCAGGGGAATTGGACTAGGTGATCTCTAGAGGTTCCTTTCTACCTCAACCGTTCTGTGGTATCAGACCATTTCAGTCTCTAAGGCTGGTCATGTTGTATGAAGATGAGCCCAGTTACCTAAAAACTAGAAGCCAGTTCATTTTGTTTGGAACCGATTGGTAAACAACTGATAGCAACTTAAAAGATAAAATTCGTGGCAAAGTTTTTTTTACATGTTTAAAACATCAACAAAATACATGGCTTTCTCAGGCATTGGTTTCTACTGATCAGTTAGCTTCATTATTAAATATGAAGGCTCCTGATTTTGAAACTAAAATGTCATTTGCAAGCAAGTGGTAGATTGTCAGCCTGTGTTGCACAACAACTATTTAGTAACATTGGGGTTTTTTGTATGTTTGTTTTAAATTTTATTTGTTTGTTTTTAAAGCAGGATCTTATGTGTGAGTAGTAGACAGGCATGTAAAGCTAAGTTAATGTTAATTTCCTTAGCTGGCCAGGCATTGGGTGGGAGTTCTTGCTGTGCAGTGTCCACTTCGCAGTGCCTTTCCAGCAAGGAACAGGCAATCTCTATTCTGTTGTTTTCTTCTTTCTTCCTTCCAACCCTTCTCTTCATGTTGGTTGATGCACTGTGAGGCCCAGCCAGTGCTCTCTAACCCTTCCTGGGATAAAGTCTCATCCTCCTTCCCTCCCTTAATTATGTATGGTTTGTGGCTCCCACTGCAGCTGTTTAACTGCCTATACCTTATCACTCTTCCGGTGATTAACACCTTTGTTCATACTGACTCATTTGTGTGAGGCCAAGCAAAATTTAAGCAAAGACAGAAAACTGCTAATGTGGCTAAAACAAGGGATATACTAGACTTGCTGACACAAGGGTTTCTAAAATCACTTTTTTTCCAAATGCAGTTAAAATCAAGCTAAAACAGATTAGAGACCATATAACGCCTTACAAACGTTGATGCTAGATATGGGCAGCAATCATTATAAAACCAAAGGTCTATAATGAGTACAAAGGCATTATTAACTGTAGCCTTTCTCACCTTGGCTTGCACCAGAAAAGTCAACTTTATTGGATGGTTGCAGGAATTTATTCTTGAGACACAGCTTTTTTAAAATTTTTACCTGTATTCTGGAGGAAAGAAATAAATGCTGTTGTGGTAGCAAAGTGTGCAGGTGACACATTAGAGTTGTCAGTGTTTGGAATAAAAAGTGGGAATAGGTCGGAGAAATCAAGCTGGATCACTTGGCAAAGTCAGTGAGAGTAAATACAAATGTAGTTAAATGGAAGGGAATATTGAAGAGCAATGGTGGATGTGAGAATTTTGTTCAAAACAACAACAAAAAAACCAGTTTGAGAAGTCCTCTAAAAATTATATGTTTATGGACAGTGTTCAAACCTGTGGGAGATTGATTCTTCCTTTCTCCCCTGCCAGTGCCATGGTGTTGGTAAAAAAAAAAATTTTCCCATAGAATGTAAGTTCATAATACTGTTTTTTTTCCATGTCAAATCACTTTTTAATTAATTTTATTTTTAACCAGTTATGGGATTTTTGTGTGTTTTTAAGCTTTGATGAAGGCCAAAGAGTGAGATAGATCTCAGTTTTCTTGTTTCCAGTATCACTATGTTGCCTCTTACTTCCTCCAGTAGGTTGTTACTGAGCAAGGGGCATGTCACCTGTTGAGTTTCCCAGGGATATGTGAACTAGTAGCAAGTTGCCCATTACCACTTCACATCAGCAAGAATACAATCAGAAATACTGGCTTAGGTTCTGTTAAACTTAATCATCTTCAGTGATTTAAAAAAAACCAACCCAAAACCAACAAACTTGCAATTTCATCTCAAGTACTTTAAAAGGTTTTTCATAAATTCAGATATATATTAAAAACTAAATGCTTATATGAAGTCATTGGTTGTTTTATCCTGAAGAATGTGCTTACAGTTTTGATTTATTGACAGAACATCTCTGCAAATTAAACTTTTAGTTAAGCTTTTTTCTGTTTTTGTGAGCTACAGTTTCATTTGAAGGCATTGCTAGAAGCTGATTTCCAGCAACCATCTCCATCTTACATTAAGAGCAAACAAAAGGTGACTTCTGAGTAGGTTGAGATTGTTGTGTAAGCTCACTTTATTGTTGTGACAAAGACCTTCCTTATTCTGTTTATGTGAGTGCACGTGTGTTAGGGTTTTCTGGGGGGGGTGGGGTGAGGGGTTTGTTCGGTTTTTTGCTTGTTTGTTTGTTTTTTAAACTGTAGGATGATTTGTCAGAAACCAAAACTAGATTTATCTTGTGACTGAACTAATCTTGGTTTCCTGCTGTCTGAAGTAGACTGTTGGCAAGGAAAAGATTTGTCATAAAGCAAATGCATCTGCATCTTTTTCTTGTATAAGGGGAGGGTGAAGAGGATATAGTAGAGCCTTAAGGCAGTGACGCATTGACTAAAAGTGCCTTGCTCCCCAGTTAACCATCCTGTTCCTTCACAAAGCGTCTTGAACTAGGAAAACTTCCTTGAATCCTTAGGCTACGTAGGCAGTTAACTGAAATGTTTTAGGACTGTTTTTACGGCCTGAGGCCAGTGGGCTTGGCAGTTGTCCATACCACTAAGTGCTTTTGCTCCTTACAGAGTAGCTACAATCCAGTTTGCACATTTAATGTAGATTGACCTGTGCTGACTCATGAACCAGTGTCTGGTTGGTCTGGGCCAAAACCAAGCAATGCAAGAGGTTTGTAGCTGTTTCACAGCTGATGCTAGGAAGTGAATGTGATTCAGTGCCCAGACCCCTGCCCTGGTCCTGCTCAGTTCGCTAGTACAGACAACCTTGGTCACATATAAAGAATGGCTAACCAGAGTAGTAATGAAAGTATTAGCTACCTCTCTTGGCACTGATAGATCTTGTTTTTCATGTGTGTGTATTGCTGTGGACATGCTGGGCATTTATGTTTTTACTTTTCACATATTCAGAAGCTGTAGATCTGAATATATTACCTGCTTTATCACAGATCTGTGGAATATACAATGTATTACTGTTGCCACTCTTTGGTCTAATAATATGGGGGAGCATTTGACTGAATGTCTATGTATCCGTGCATATAAGCATTATACTCTGTTGTTTTATCATTGCATGAGTAGCAGTTTAAAATTGGTAACACTGAGATTTATTTTCTTTACTGAAGTTCTTGATGGAAGATTTCCATTTTGTTAAAACAAGGTAGATTCCTGCTCCTGGATCTTCTTAGCTTTTAAACTTGAAAAAAAAATCCCAAACTCTTTGAACAAGGTTCTGTTAGTCAAAATCAGAATTTTCTGTAAGGTTTTGGTAAATTTATATGTAATTTTTTGTTTGGTGTTTTTTTGTTTGTTTAGCTGTAGTGGGTAGCAATATTCTTAAAAAAAAATTGTCTTGCAAGTGGTGGATAAATGTTTGATTGTATAAATCTCAAAAAGCAGGTTGCCTTGGAGAAGATTTGAATATTTGCTGATCTTTAGATGATAGCTACCTGGAAGCTCTTAGACTTTGTTACATTTGAGGTAGTTTATTCATCCATGGAAGCTGTCTCGGTCGTCCTGAATTTCTTACAGTAGGTATAAAGTGAGAAGCATATGTTTGGGCACTTAAAGTTGAAAGTTGTATTGCATCTTTATGCTCTGCTTGCAGTTTGGTACTTTTTTGCACATCTGTATCATAGGCTACTTTTTTGTATGTATTTTTCCCTAACTGCGGCAAAATGAGAGAATTACTGTAGTAAGCTGTTCATATGGCAAGTGGTCCAATGTTGAAAGAAACTTTCCATCCTGGAGAAGTATTTTAGTTTGTGAACCCAAAATAAATGCCGTGTTTTTTTTTTTTTTTTTTCTTTCCCCATTTGGTAGTGGATACCCTGTTTTCAAGAAAACTAAATGGAAAATACAGACTTGAACGTCTTGTTCCAACTGCAGTCTATCAACATATGAAGATGCACAAACGAATTTTAGGACACTTGTCTTCTGTATACTGTGTAACTTTTGATCGGACTGGCAGGCGAATATTTACTGTAAGTACAAAATCTTTATTTTTGTAGATAATTTTTTTTTTAAAGTACAGATGGCATGTCACTGAATTGTTTCCAAAACCTAAATGTACTGATGTTGTGTATCAAGAGTAGATAAATGCTTTACTACTGTTGCTCTCATATATGCTTTTTAATAGCCATGCTGGTTTGCACTTTAAAATCATTTTGGAATGCATGTCTAAAGGCTAGATGTGATGGTGATTGCTGATCTGTCAGAAAACTCGGGTTATTTTCAGTGGAAAGGATTTACCCTATGTAGGTTCTTTCCTCTGGACTTATTTTCTCTAGCAAAAACATAAGCAAAAGAAAGGACCACCACCACAGAATTTGATTAGGAGGTCAGGGAGGACAATCAGTATGTAATTGAAGATTATTTTTACTCTTTTCTATTAACTTTTGTTAAATTTAAAGCACGAGTATTAAGTTTAACAGTCTGGTGATGCACTTAGATTTGGCTCCGCATGTTGAAGGGAGCTAGAAAGCTGAAAACTCCCATAGTGTGTTGTAACAGATGTTGGTTCACAAGGTATTATCTTTATGAGATCCCAGGAACTTTTTTTTTTGTACCAGTGTTCTTAGTATTTTTAACTGTTGGCTTTTTTGTTGTTGTTAAAAAATTGGATGGATCTCTGAAATCGGTTCTGAAATTGCAAGTTTCCCAAGGCATGGGAATTATAAAAACAGATAGGTGTCAGTGTAATTTGGATTTCTTGATAAATAGTCACGTTTAGTAGAGCCAAAGATCTCATAAATACACACCTTGTGCCAATCTGGGACACTTTGGCTGCATTTATTACCTTCCCACAAACACTGTATGTAATTGATACCTTTGTGGATCCAGGAGCTTGATTGTGTCTTTTCTAACCTCATTGCAGGTAACTCGGAACAATGCAAGTGGAAATACAGTTCAGTTCTACTTTATGTATTGCAGTCCTAACTTAGTTGTAAATATAATTTGCCCTTTCACCCACATACATTTTGCTTTGTTGCGTGGAGGGATGTGCAGTGGCAGGGGTGGGACACTTGCAGTGTTTTGAATAGACCTGTTTGTTCGCTTGTTACTTCAGGCACAGCAGAGACTTTTTTCATATTTCTTTAGCTTTCATTAGCAAGCTAAGTCCCTCAACAGTCATAGGCATTAAATTCTTATGTCCTGTAGTTTATGCATGATTAACCTATCAGAAAAAGGACTCTCTGTTGTGGGTTTATTTTATATGTGACATGGCAGAATAGATTAGAGATTTTGTGTACCAAGTATAAAAATTGCCTATGCTTACCCTGTTCGCCTCTAAATAAAAACTTCTGTTTGTGCTTCCTAGATGAAGTGCATAAAAGTTGCTGTTAAGGTCTTCTGATTCTTGATTTTCCTAAAACTTTCCTGTATTCCTAAAATCTTTCCTCTTCCAGAGATGCACTAAACTTCCTCTTGGGTGCATCTGCAGTGATCATCTGTTGTTGCACATGCCCTTGTTTTTTGCAGTCTGATTTAAAAGTGATTGAAGAGAGGGAATTCTGTTGACTGGTAACAGCAGTTTAGTTCCAAAAGAAAAGTAGAAGATCTGAAATGGAGTAGGGGGGAGCAATACTGCTTCTGCAACCCCCGAGCTTTGCTGGCAGTCCTTTGCTGGCAGATACACTGGTGTCCTGGTATGATTGCTTGAAAAAGGTCCCAGTTTAGATCATGGTTACTTCAATCTAGTGTTAAATAAAGTGCCCATAGAAATAAATTGTGGCTGGTGAATTTTTATTTTGGAGGGCCTGGGACAGAACTTCTTACCTCTGCATTCTCAGGTAAATCCAGTGTTTTTTGTGTAGACGTTTAAGTGGTTGTTGGCAAATTGAAAACCAATGGGTTGTATTCCACATTCCAGTAAAATCCAAGTTGCTGTAGCTGGTGTGATGTAGTCAGTGGATAGAGTCATGAACTGTCTTGTTGCAATTGCGTCTGTATAATGAAATGGTGCCAATTCATTTTTAATCTAGACCACTACAATTTCTAAAGTCTCTAGTGTAGTAAGCAGAAGTAGGAATTTATAATAAAAGGTAAGCCAAACTTCTTTCCAGAAGTGTCAGTTGCCAAGCATGTAAATTTGACTGCATCAATAGGGAATCATTCTTGCTCTATGATTTTACTCTACAACCTCCAGCATTCAGTGTGACATTACCTAGATAAGAGGCTGTTTGAGACTTATGATTGGTTCTAGAAGATGTGTCATAACTGTTTGCTTTTCCTCCCAACCTCTGAAGGATTGAAAGTCTCTAAATTCAAGTTCTGTTTATGTTCAGCTTCAAATTCAAAGGCAGAGAAAGTAATCTCAGCATATTTTTGAGTCATACTCTTCTGGGAGATGTTATCTTTGCTAGGAAGAAGATGCTCTTAGTTTGCCTAAAGGCAATGAAAACAGGACATTATGGAGTTTTCCTACTAGCTAGTAGGTCTGTATTGGGTTTGTGTGGCAAGGTTTTGGTGGCGAGGGGGCTACAGGGGTGGCTTCTGTGAGAAGCTGCTGGAAGCTTCCCTCGTGTCCGACAGAGCCTATGCCAGCTGGCTTCAAGACGGACCCACCGCTGGCCAAGGCCGAGCCCATCAGTGGCGGTGGTAGTGCCTCTGGGAGAACAGATTTAGACAGGGGGAAAAACCCGCACAATTGCAGCCAGGGAAGAGAGGAGTGAGATGTGAGAGCACCAGCCCTGCAGACCCCCAGGTCAGTGCAGAAGGAGGGCAGGAGGTGCTCCAGGCGCTGGAGCAGAGATTCCCCTGCAGCCTGTGATGAAGACCATGGTGAGGCAGGCTGCCCCCCGGCAGCCCAGGGAGGTCCACGGGGGAGCAGATCTCCACCTGCAGCCCGGGGAGAGAGGACCCCACGCCGGAGCAGGGGAATGCCCGAAGGAGGCTGTGACCCCGTGGGAAGCCCGCGCTGGAGCAGGCTCCTGGCAGGACCTGTGGCCCCATGGAGAGAGGAGCCCAGGCTGGAGCAGGTTTTCTGGCAGGACTTTTGATCCTGTGGAAGGGGCCCGTGCTGGAGCAGTTTGTGAAGGACTCGTGTTGGAGAAATTTGTGGAGGACTGTCTCTTGTGGGAGGGACCCCATGCTGGAGCAGGGGAAGAGCGAGGAGTTCTGCTCCTGGGGAGGAAGGAGTGGCAGAGACAAGGTGTGATGAACTGACCCCAACCCCATTCCCTGTCCCCCTGTACCTCTGTGGGGGAGGAGGGAGAGAAAATCGGGAGTGATGCTGTGCCCAGGAAGAAGGGAGGGGTGGGGAGAAGGTGGTTTTAAGATTTGGTTTTATTTCTCATTATCCTAGTCTGATTTGATTGGTAATAAATGAAACTAATTTCCCCAAGTCGAGTCTGTTTTGCCCGTGATGGTAATTAGTGAGTGATATTTCCTTGTCCTTACCTCGACTAACAAGCCTTTTGTTATATTTTCTCTCCCCTGTCCAGCTGAGGAGGGGAGTGATAGAGCAGCTTTGGTGGGCACCTGGCATCCAGCCAGGGTCAATGCACCACAAGGTCATGGAATGACTGTTTCTATTTATATTCTTCTAGGGATTTCACAAGAGATTTCTGAAGATCAACCTTTTACCTGTTTTTTTTTTTCTGAATATACAAAAATACTGTTAGTATACAAACTGTGTTGTCTTGGTAATACAGGGGTTTTTTTTAATTAACTACAATTAAGGCATCTTTACTTGGCAAAAACACAGCTAAAAGACCTATCTGCCATCAGTGAAGAAAACCTAATTATTTCTGAGACTGCGTATTCTGGATCTCTTGAAAAGTGTGACTTGCAGAATGCACACAGGGTAATAGAAACAAGCATTGTCTTCTCTGGTTCCTGCACTACTTAACTTTCTGACTGCAAAGAAGGGTGGCCATCTCCTTTTTCCCCACCTTTATCTTCCTGTCTCCTCAGAGATTACTCTTTCTAGGGAATAATAAACAGTGCTGTGTAATAGTCTATGTAAGATTTCCAAACCAAGATTAATTTGTACATTTCTTGGCAGTTTCACTTGAGGCCACAAATCTGTGTAATGGTAGAAAAGTGAACCAGTTTTACTCCATACCTTGGCAATGATGTCATCAGTTCTCTCTTGGTGCTGAATTTGTTCTAGGATTCACTTTTGACAAATATTTTTTAATAGGTTCATAATTCGTAGCAGTTGTAGACATAACCTTGGAAGCAGGAGCTGTGGTGTAAGCCAATGCCCTTGCTAGTAGAACTGCAGCAGTATTTTAACAGCTGTGAATTGTCCCATTCAGTTCAGATAGAATCCCGTGAATTTATTTGAACTCTAATATTGTTATCTTGCCAAGATGCTACAGAATTTACAATTTTACCTTAGTCTTTTTTTTTCCTTTTTTCCTTCTGTTTTCCTTTTTTCTTGTTGAGACTTGCTAACATAATTTAATTTTTCTTTGCAATGGAGATGTACATGTACACATGCCTCTATGGCTATACTATAGCCAGCTGCTAGGGAGCAGGCTCATTTTATGCTGATCTTCTTTCCTTAATTTGCTGTTATTAAATACACCTCTGAGGACCCTGCACGTGGCATTAGGTCCCAGAACTAGGTTTTTTTTTCTTGCTGACGATTTTCCATCTTTAAGTTTTTTTTGTGCAGGTTGCTCTCTGTCAGTTACATTCTGCAAGCAGCTTTTTTGGGGTCTCATAATGCAGGGTTTGGTTTATTGGTTGACTTTTTTTTTTCTCTGTGCTTTGAACAATCTCTTCATCCAGTAAAATGACTGCAGGCTGTAAGCTTACTGTAAAGTCAGTAGCTTATTCATAATATTTATCTGTACAACGTAAGAATTGCAGAAGCATGTTTTATGTAATATGTATAGTTCTGTCGACAGAGTTTTTGGGGTTTTTTTTGTTTGTTTGTTTTTAATTAGTGCAGCTCCAAGAAAAATGGGACCAGTGGTTTGAGATTTCTAGACTATGATGCAATTAATATTAATGGCTTGGTTCTGTTCCC